CATCATATGTACGTTGTATGAACAATAATTTGTATCGGTTTGGTTTTGATGCAGCATAGAGACGGACTAATTCAGTTGCAATTTGGACTACTTTATTTTTGAACTGATTACAATCTGTTGCTGACCAACTTTCTTTCTTTATAAAAACGGTATTCATTTGGTCTGCAACAAAAAAATTATATTAATTTTTGTATACAAAACTTCTAAACCAAAATTTATGAATGATGAACAAAAAATGTGTAACCAATTCCCAAACGGATTAGTTCGTTGAGTCCGGTGCAACCATTCGAGACCTTTCTTTTTGGATTCAAGTTTAAAAAGATTTTATTTTATTTGAATAATATTATCAGATAAATCTTTACGGATTATATGCCAAACATCATGGCTTGTACATTAGTTACAACATTCTTATATAGAGTAATGCATAAAACCCAACCGTTTTAGTCACAACAATTATTTACGCATAGAAATATCATCATTCTTAGGCTTTAAAGTCACTTTCTAACCTTTGGTTTGTAATAGAAGCTCTCTCGTTTAACCAACTTATGATATCACCAAACACAATCTCCAAATTCTCAGGAGATTCTCCGTATAAAAGTCCATGCCACATGTGGGGATACAACTTGAAAGTCTTGTCCGAACTTGAAGATACCTCGTATAGTAGCTTGCTTACGTCTTTGTCTGTAACTTTATCATCTTCTCCATGAAGGACAATAAATGGCATCGAGACCTGTTTACATTCATTCTTTTATATGTTTTATCCACAAAATTTGTTGAATAATAAAACCAAATCTTGGAGATATCAAAGGAGATCGATATGCAAGTTTCAGTAGTCAAATGATCTTAGTGCCCTCCGAACAAGATTGCATCGTAGTTCAAAACTTATTTGGGAGGGATATATTTAATTACCACTTACCGAAAGAGATTATGAACCAAAAGATTAAAAAAATTCTCGGAAATCCAAAAGAGAAATAAACCTGATGAAGATTCTTCTCAAGATCCAAGCTAGCCAATAAGAGTTGATGAGCGGTTTTCAAGCGAGGTCGACCCTTGTAGCAGTAATCGTTTTCCCTTACCTTTATAATTAAAGTTTTTTATATGAAAGAAAATGTCTTAGATTGTATTAAAATCAAAAGATGATACTAATGAAAAAGTTTATACCTGTTTTCTTATGTGGGATTCTTTAAATGCCACATCAATAATATCGTTGGTAGGAACTATCTTCCAAGTTGGAATAACCCTAGTTAGCTTTGTCAGAAATGAGATCACCAGAGGATGTGGCTTTATGTCTTCTGCTAACTATACGAAGAAAAATGAAATACATCATTGTTTATTACTAGTTTAATAAATATCATTATAAGAAAACTTGTTGATCAATGAGAACATTTTTAAAAAAATACTTCTGTCAGAGATCTTTGTTAGTAATTCACAATAGATTTTTAACTCCTTTTTTTTTGAAAAAAAAATCGGATCATTTTTAAAAATTGTCGAAAATCCATTGGAACAAACGAGTTAAGCAATTCTTGACGAATTTTCAGTTATCTAAAATTGACCAGAAACCAGTTTTGACGAATCTGGCCATAGCATAGGAAATCACTACGTTTCGTGTGTTGTATTAGG